AAAAAAAAAAATCATGAGAGAGACTATGACAAGCATAATACTACAAATTACTCGTAAAGGAGACTGGTCTTAATTCACTGTGGAATAAATTACTTATTTTATTTAACAACTAACTGCCAGAAAGCCGCATTTTTTTCATCCAGCTAGTGTGAAAGTATTGATTGTAGATTTAGAAACTGATTTTAAAAAAAAAAAAAAAAAAAACAAAAAAACCCAAAACCCAACCTGTATACACACAAATAGAAGATACACACCATCAACTTTTATGGCCATGGAAAGGTTTGAATACTTTCTTCTTAAAACTCGGGTGAACACTTTAGTTCGGCCCTTGACAGCTCTCACCTTGCATAACTAGTATTTATGTGAACGGTAACTCAAAAAGGCAACTAACCTTGCCTAATGTTACATAGCTCATATTCTTTTTATAATCTATGTTTGAACAATCGCTCTAGTGTATCAGACACAAACAGGCTGTCCTTCAACAAGAGGTACAGAACCTGGCATCTTCTACTCCCTTGTTTCAAAAAAAGGTGTGTAAATAAAAAACACAGCCAATAACCCCTGTCTCCAAAACTCCATTACTACCCAAGAAAATATCCTATACAGTGATGCCATAAAGCACTTGCAGCTAGAATCAACTTTTGCTTTGATTTGTTTTGGTTTATTTTAAAAACACAACCTATCTCAAATCTATACGGGCAAGAAACTGCACTGTGAAAAGATACTTAGTCTAACATCTCCCACTGGCAATGCAGGCAGACCTTTAAAAAGAAAAAAAAGCTGCGTGGTTCCCTAAGTGGTTGCTTGCAAAAAGATTATTACCCGCATTACTAAGACAAAAGGGAAATAAGTGTTAAAATTATTAAGTAACAAGAACACAGAGCAAAGAGTGATACTTGCAATGCACTCCTCAGTTCTCTTGTCCATGAACAGGGAAATTTTGGCACTGGGACTTGTCACAGTGATTTGACACTGAAGCAGAAGCAGTGTTGAGCAATATGAACACATAACTAGTTTTGGACATCAAGAATGTATCAACTGACCTAGTGCTAATAAATGTGAGTGATTTGCTGAGTTGTACTTGTCTTCCTTTAAAAATAGTGCAGGCATTTACATCTTCAAATTAAATAAATGGGCTTTTTTCCTTACCTGTTGATAATCTGATAGCACTTTCTTACTAAACAGAGCATATAAAACACTTAAAACATTATTTCCTTTGATAAGCATGCATAATTTATCTGTAAAAACAGAGTATCAAATATTAAAGAAACACATTCTGACAATCTCATATTAGGTCATATTTTAAATCTGTGCTTACAACACTGGAGTTCATCTCTTTTTTTAGATTACAAAAAAATGCTACATATTTTAGGACTTCTGTTTTGTTCATGTTAGTATTCTAGAGATACAACTAGTTTAACTCATTTATGTAAACAAAATTATTTTAAACACATTACCACAAAACCCTGAAGTTAGAGACAGAAAAAAAAAGATCTAGTCCTCCTTGCTTACTTCTTTCTATACAGAATATTAATCAAAAGCCAAATAAACATCAGTCTCAAATACTAATGTGTATGTGTATAGAGCCTCCTCGACTCAAAGCCTCTCTTCTGGAAGTCAACTGGTCCAAACCCCTGATTAAAGCAGAGTCAACCTTCAAGCTGGACCTATCTACATTAACACAAATAAACAAACACGTAATTCTTGAAGTGGAATTCCTCAAAAAAAGTCAACAATTTTAAGTTTCTAATTACATTTAAAATAGCCCTTTCTTCTTATTTACAGAAAAAATAAATAAAAATTACAGCAAGTTACAGTCACTTTTCCTTTTGACTAGTAAATGCACTCTTAATACAATGAAGGCTTCAATTCACTGATGTAAAGAGAGATTACAGAATGTAATCTCTTACAGAATGTAAAAAGAATATTGCCTTAAGGTTACTGCTCCTTAACAATACGTACTCAAACTTATGCTACTACATGACTTTCTGTTTAGCTCT